TTTAGATGGTAGATGCTTTCTAGATGTTTTTTATTTTTATTTTGGCGTGAATTTATCAAATCTAACCTAAGAAATAGGATGAAATTTGACTTTAAAATGCTATCTTGACAATAAAATTCGGCCTGATAAAAGTTGGAAAAGGCTGTTCCACTTATCAGCTCCCTCATTGGGTATTACAATAAGAATAAACTCACAGGGAGCAAGTACAGCAGGGATCTACCAGTCTTCAGTAGAAATTATCCTCGTCGACACGCGTTTCGGCCCACGATTCCTAGACGCATTCGGAGGTGGGCCCACCTGAGTTCATGAAGCTCAGGGCTGGTTCCCTGCTGCACGGAATTACCGGATGGTGTTATACTTTCGGCCAGAGACAAGACGACTTGGTGGTTTGGAAGGAGGTACTGTGAGATAAGAAGCCGCCGCGACAGCGTAATTAAAACAGTTCGCATGCCTGGACGACCGAGCGACAAGCTTACTTTGGTTTACCAGACACATGTTAGACTTTCATTAGCAGTTGGCAGAGGGACACTGGCAGACAATTCGTACACGATGGACTTTCAAAGGGATGAGAAACTCCTTTCCGCTAGACACCCGGACCAGCTCACCGAGGCCCGTCCCCTACGTTGTTGCGCTGCGTCCAAAGCCAGCTAGAGGCCCTTTCGGCTGCCTCTCCCAGTTTTTTGAGTGTTCGTTTCCGTTCATTACCGCGCAATCCTAGTTCTTTCACCACATTGTAGAGCGAAGTGGTAACGAGGCCTCTCGCTCCCACTTCGACGGCAAAAACCCGTACTGTGTAAGCCTCGTTTCTCCTCAAACCGGCTGCTAAATCACTGTACTTCTCGAGCTTGTACAAATGATTCTCCTCCATACGCGACTCAAACGGGACAGTCAACTCAATCAGGATGAGCTGCCGTTTTTGCGCAGAATGGAGAACGATGTCCGGTCGCAGGCCGGTTTTACGGATCAACTCGGGATACCGTTCATGGCCTGGCAGATCAACCGCCAGTAACCAGTCCCTCGCAGAGTCTAGCACAGATGGAGCGAATGCGTTTTTGTTGACCTTACCAATTGGAACCTGCCCAGCCTTGAGGAAACGAATGGGGGCGATACTAGAACTGGCTCTGGCATTAGCCCTCATTCTAGCCTGGTCGACAACGGCTGCTAACTCCTTTAGCACCTTGTTGTGGCGCCAGGTATATCGGCCTTGACCTAGAGCTTTCCTGCACGCGGACAGGACGTGCTCAAGAGTTTGCTTCGATTTGCACAACGGGCAAGTCGGATCGTTGGTCGCAGACCATTTAACCATGTTAACACCGGACGGTAATACATCGTACGCCGAACGAACGATAAAGCTCAGTCGCAGCGGGGTCATCCGCCAGATCTCACCCCATGTGAGTATTCTCGGCAATGCGCTCTCCAGGCTGACCCAATGGCCCTGCTGCGACTGCTGGGCTGCTTTCTTGACCCGAACCTCGTTTTCGTTGTCCCTCACCGTTTGTATTACCATGTCTCGGCGCTCTTTGGCTGAGGCCTTTGACCACCAATTGACTTTCCCGTGCCCTAGGCCTCGACGGTCGGTTTGTGTGTAACCCATTATCTCCTTCAATTTTAGTGCGTTGATTCTATCGCATCGAGGACTCTCCATTTGGTACCAGTCTTTAGAGCGGGCTGGGCAGCGGTGACATTTGGGTCTGAAGACTCGCGCAGAAGCATGGCGAGTCTTACCTTGCCGACTTTAAACTCTTCGGTTATCGACTTGAACGGAAGTACCAGCTTAGCCTGTTTACAATACAGAGCCACGTCGGTCAGACAAGGCGGTGCTCCAATCCACTTTCTTAAGGCTGTGTTGATTTTTTTCTACATGGCTTCAACTGCAGTCATCGTCACCTCGTAGACTAACAGTGGCCATAGGAGCTTCGGAATCAACATGAATTGGAGACACCATACCTTGAATTTTCCGATCAGCCTGCATCGCTCGATCGCGAGCAGGCCTGTAGCCAGTGACTCATGTATTCGCCGGACCTCCGCTCTGTCAGATAGCTTCGAATCGTAAACGCGACCGAGACTCTTCACCGGTTCCTCCAGAACCGTAGGGATCTTGTTCCTTGCCACCGTAAAACTGGTCGCCGACACTTTGCCCTTATGGATTGACAGACTCCTCGATTTCTGCGGTTTGAACTGCATACCGCTCCATTGGACCACCGCGTCCAATCTTTTCAGGATCGTGCGGGCAGACTCCTCGCTGCCCGTTATTATAGTCGTGTCATCTATAAATGCGCGTAGTGGCGGCAACCAGTGATCCCCTATTTGAAGGCCCTGTCCGTAGCCGGCCGCCCCGTCTAAAATGATCTGCATTGCCATGACAAACAGTATAGGTGAGATCGTACAGCCCATAGCTATCCCAATCTGCAACTCAGTCCACCTCGTGGTAAACGTCGAGGTAGAGAAGCACAAAGCGAACTTGGAGAAATATTGCTCGATCATTTGACTGATCTGTGTCGGTACGTGAAACATGCGAAGGGCTCGCCACAGTAGCCTATGGGGGACTGCCCCGTAGGCGTTGGCTAAGTCCAACCATATTACGTGCAATTGTGTTCTCTCATGCTTGGCTCTCTGGATAGCTTCCAAGATCATGGTCGCGTGTTCAAGGCACCCAGGAACGCCTGGGATACCACCCTTCTGAACACTCGTATCTATGTACTTGTTAGTCATCAGATACTGTGTGAGCCGGCGAGCCATAACTGAGAAGAATATCTTACCCTCGACATTCAACAGCGAGATGGGCCTGAATTGGGAAAGACTCTTCGAGTCCTGCTCTTTGGGAATGTAGACCCCATTTGCCTTTGACCACTCTGGACATATGTGATTGCGGATCCACGCTTGTCTCAACAAGACGTGAAGCATTTTAGGATTTTCGGGCAACGCTTGTAAAGAACGTACGGGACACCGTTCGGACCTGGGGCAGACTTGCCGCTGGCCTTTTTCACAACGTCCTCAACCTCAGACCAAAGGGGAGGTACCAATTTAAATGGTACCTTCGGCACCGAAGGCTGTTTAAGACCGCTAAGGATCTCTGGATTGTCATCGAGAGGCTCTCTCCTCTTTTTGTCAGAGTACATCTTGCGTAGATGTAGCTCTAGTTCTTCCTGACTGACAACCAGAGTCCCAGACTTCGGTTGCTCGAATAGACCTCGGGCAAATTGATACGGGTCCCTAAAGAATTTCTCTCGCTCCCTTTTGGTTCTCCGTCTGTTGTTACAGAAACGCTCGGCGCGACAGAGGGCACTGTGTTTGTTCTTTAAATGCACCCACACTTCATACAGCCCCTCCCGTTCGCTGCCTGTAGCGGCTTTGAACCGTTTTCTGAGGGCATTCTTGTCTGCCCGACACTTCAGAATGTCCCTCTGCCTCCTGCTAGTATTCTGCTTGGCACCCGGCTGTGCCTTTACTACTGTCCCGAACTCGCGGGAGCAGTGTTCATATATTACATCACCAAATTTAGTAAGCTTGTCGCCTAGCGGCTTCTTGTTTAGAGTTTGTTTAAGTATCTCACATAATGTAACCTCCAACTTACACCACACCACCTTCTCGCTCGCAGGTGGAAACCTGATTCTGGAACGCACTTCATCAGAAATCATCAAAGGTGCTCCTCCGCAGTTGAGCCTCTCCGGGCGAGTGGGGTTCACCCTGCCCGTCGTACCCTGACGACTCAGAAACTACCACAGGAGTGGTAGTTTTGCGACGGCGTTTACTGCTTGGAGCACCCTCGCATTTCATTCTTCCGGCATGCGTTCTCAGACCATGCAACCCCGTGAAGCTTTTCCAACATGTACAGAGCCAGCCCGGACGTTGGGCGAGTATCTCAGTCCGGGGGCTAGCAAGGTCGTCACCGAGGGTATCAATCAGATTGGGCCCTTCATTCTCCCCCCTTTCGGAGGGCCCTGGGGGCATATTTCATTGTGGTCGTACGAAATCGGAGGTATTATACTGTGTTAGGGGTGATCAACCCGGTCCACAGTCGACATCTGTCTTCAGATGTCAGTTTATCCCCCCGGCGATACCGGGGGGCCAGTCTTTCCATAGGTGTCAAAAGGTCTTTCCCGATAGTCACCAGTCTTTCCTGGTAGTCTTGTGGTCTAGCCACGTACAATAAGAATAAACTCACAGGGAGCAAGTACAGCAGGGATCTACCAGTCTTCAGTAGAAATTATCCTCGTCGACACGCGTTTCGGCCCACGATTCCTAGACGCATTCGGAGGTGGGCCCACCTGAGTTCATGAAGCTCAGGGCTGGTTCCCTGCTGCTATTTCTTGTATTACAAGAAATAGGAACAGCTAAAGCATACCAGAGCCATTTTGGATCTGAACTTTTTCATCCAAGCTAAGTTTATCCTGTGGATCTTGTAAGGCAGACGCCGGTAAAGATGAGGACATGATTCTATAGGGTAAGTCATATCAATTGCTATGTAATTTATGACTCTTTCCATCTGGATGTTTTTTCTAAATGTTTTCCACGCAAATGTAAATGTTTTTAGATATTTTTTGACTCCGTTTTGTATGTTTTTTTTTATAAGAAAAGTGGCAACACTGGTGGTTACTTAAGGACATGTTAGCTTGTTGCGTGTGCCTTGATTTTAATGGTGCTCTTTGTTTGCGTTGGCCTTCCTTTCCAGTTATGATCACCATCAGCATGTGCCGTGCCAAGGACAGTAGGTGGCATTGTTGATGGAAAAAGGGATTTCATTGTGTGGGTGTAAGGACTGACATTACAGACATATATCAACGTTCAACCCCCTAGACATTTGGCAAGCGTGCGGGTATAAAAAACGAACGCGACATATGGTGAGTGGGCATGTTACAGTGGACTATGTGAGCGTGTTATATAGTGGGATGTAGTGTGGGCCACATCAAGTCTGACGTTGTGCTTTTATATTATAGCCTGAAATACTTTAACGTGACTGACATTTTAAATACCTTATCTGAATCTTCCATCCACATGACGCTGTACACATCACCAAGACAGGTTTTTCTAGTGTTATCGTAATAACAAGCATATGAGGATTCATCAGAGTTAGCTGCCGTTGTAGCATAAACTGGAGGGAGAAGACACATTTGTATTTCTAAAGCTGCATGCCGAACTCGAAATGATCTTATTCCTTGGCGATCAAGTCACCGACTGGCTCGCCGGTGGGATTTTTGGGGCTGTCTCCTGTGATCGCATCAGCACCTCAGGAGTCCTTATCATGGCTCTTGGTGACCAGCAGTGCTAAGCCATTCTATATGGTGCACCACACCTAGTCATAATTACAACTGTCTCTTTTTTCATCAATGCTTTTATGAAACTGAACGAATCACATCAGCCAGTTACATTATTCACACAAAACATTTTGGACCCCTGAAAAAACCCATAGAAGAGATAGACACACATACACGCAACATAAAGAGAAAGAGAACGAACGAGAGAGGGGGAAATTGAGATAGATACCAACAAAGAGAGCGAATGATAGGCGTAGAAAATGACAGACACACAATAAAGAAAAACAGAGAGGGATGAGAATCACGGGCACACACAAAAGACAAACAGATAGGGTAGACACACGGAGACGCAGACACACAAAAGGTGAACGAACGAACGAACGAACGAACTTTATTTTTTAAGGGTCATGAGTTAGGCGGGAAGGAAGGCCCGTCTTACATTCAGAGGAAACGGGGGGATGGATACATATAGGGGGGGGGGGAAACAGAAGAGTGAAATATAGAGAGAGGAAGACACAAAGAAAGTTATGCACGGAGATATGCAGATACAGAGACAGAAGTATACAGGGAGTTACAAAACAAATAAAGGTAGACGCATTCATGGAGGGGGACCTAATGTGAGAGGCAAAGGTGAAGGAGACACATGGAAGAGTGACATAGAGATAGACAGACAGTGAGTGATTGAGAAACGCTGACACGGAGGGAGGGCGGCGGGGAGAGAGAGAGAGAGAGAGAGAGAGAGAGAGAGAGAGAGAGACATAGAAAAGGAACAGAGATAAGTAAACTTACAGAAAGACAGACACACAGAGTGAGAGACACATGTGAAGGCAGACAAAGCGAAAGACAGACCCTGAGAAAGACAGACAGAAAGAGTGCAAAACGCATGGGAACCAGACACAGAGAAAGACAGACACAATGAGAGAGATGAGAAATAGAATAATGCGATGCCAGAAATGCGAAATAGACAGACATTGAGAGACTGAATCGCACAAAATTGCAAACAGATAGAGAAAGACCGAGAGAGAAAGAGAGTAGTATAGTTCCCTAAACCTCTGATCTCACCTTAAATTCAGTTGTTGTTTTTTTAAACATTTATTTACTGTCATCTGGTTACCTTATATGAATACTTTCTTATGCAATACTTCATACCTTTAAACTTTCTTTGCATGCAGTGCAGAAATATTGGATTTTGGTTTTGTTTTTCCTACCTTTGTTTTCAGGGTAAATAGTAATATGATGCAAATGATTGCTGAATGTCACATTCTTCTTGGAATCAGTATCAGGATTATTTCAACAACAAAAACGCTTACCACTAATATTGGACTCCAGTATGTCTTTAAACATAGTTCCCGATTCACAGGCTTCAACATAAAACACCATCTGCGTTTTTGAAATTAAATCAAGTTCCATTATTAATCTCTATATAAATTGCAAATAAGCTGTCGGGAAAGAGAAGCTGACACAAAACATTAGGGTCTAACAACAACAACAAAATACGCAAACTGCCGCTGCCTAACAAATTGTCTAGGCAGTTGCGGGGCTCACCCCCAACAAATACACACTAACTAACACGCACAAACTAACGTGAACAAACTAACTCACACAAACTAACACTCACTAACATGCACAACCTAACGTGCGCAAACTAACACGCACAAACTAACGTCCACAAACTAACACACACAAACTAACCCTCACTAACATGCACAACCCAACATCCGCAAACTAACACGCACAAACTAACGTCCGCAAACTAACACACACAAACTAACACTCAATAACATGCACAAACTAACGTCCACAAACTAACACGCACAAACTGACGTCCACAAACCAACACGCACAAACGAACATGTACAACCTAATCCGCACAGACTAACGTGCACAAACTAAAAAGCACAAACTAACACGTACAAGCTAACGTGCACAAACTAACACGCACAAACTAACACGCACAAACTAACATGCACAACCTAGCCCGCACAGACTAACGTGCACAAATATGAACAAACTAACTTGCACAAACTAGAGTAATTAAATAAATGCACAAAATGACTGGAAAGCTTCATCGGGTGGAAAGAAAAGACATGGGTGAGCGAGGGGAGGATGGACTCAGTGCCCTCTACCATGCCGTAAAAGGCGACTAATTATGGGGGTTCCCGTTCTGAGTCAGAGTTCAACTGTTTGAGAGGCGAGGAACCAACAGTCTGAATACACACACACACACACAAAAAAAAACTAATCTACAAAATGGAAGCACACGTTTTCAAACAAAGCCAAAGTCTAGAAATTAACGATAGGAAAGACTTTCGGGCAGAGTTTTCATCCAGTGAACACAATCAAATACAACCAAAAGTTATCACCAGAGAATCTTTATCAACAGGAAAACACAAAGCTAATAAAGGAAGCCACAACATTAATACGAAAAAAAAAATCCGTTGTAAGTTATGAGTTATATTATCTTCACAGCACTCCGGACACATCTTTAGGCGCTCAGATTTCCCTCTCAACATATTCATCAGCGTCGTGAAGCTATGTTGGTTAACAAGACTTCGTGTGCGTCAGGTGTGCTTCTCATGCTTAGCTGTGCCGATCTTTACTCCCAGTTAGCGTAATCTTAGCAGTGATGTGGACACGATACTTCCAAAATCCTCAGAACGTCCTGTCTCTCTAAGGGCAATGACAATGTCTGCGTGATCCATGGACCGGCCATCTTCAATGAATGCAACACCTGCCAGTCTATCAGCTCTCTCATTACCAACAACACTGCATGCCCTGGGACAAATATGAAGGTAACTGCACACACAGGAGAGTTTTGAAATGACTCAAACCACTGTCTGCGTAACCAGCCTGCCTCGACCCGCCGGATCATGCTCAAAGAATCGCTCAGCACACAGACGCGGGAATAGTCATGTGATCCCCGCCACATGAAAGCTTGTGTCACCGCCATCACCTCCATCGTCAACTGACTACCAGTCCACCTCGGACTTTCCCCTTGCTTGCCCTTCCAGTCCCAAGTATCTCGTGCAGTCGTCTGTGGCACGGATTTTCTGCTTGACTTGATGTCAGCTTGGAGACCATGCAAAGCAGGGTCCTTACACCCGTAATAAGACAAAATGTGAACAAGAAGAGCTATTACTGAATGAAACTAGAAAGAGTAGGAATGTTGGGGAAACTAACCATAAACATTTTTAAGTTTTGCTTTCCTATTATTATAACTTTGATGTCTGTGTGTCTGTTGTGTGTGTGTGTGTGTGTGTGTGTGTGAGTGCGTGTGCGTATGTATGTATGTATGTATGTAGGTAGGTAGGTAGGTAGGTAGGTAGGTCGGTCGGTCGGTCGGTCGGTCGGTCGGTCGGTCGGTCGGTCGGTCGGTCGGTCGGTCGGTCGGTCGGTCGGTCGGTCGGTCGGTCGGTCGGTCGGTCGGTCGGTCGGTCGGTAGGTAGGTAGGTAGGTAGGTAGGTAGGTAGGTAGGTAGGTAGGTAGGTAGGTAGGTAGGTAGGTAGGTAGGTAGGTAGGTAGGTATGTATGACTATTTAATTTTAAACATGTGTGGATTTGCAAAAACATACGCAATACTAACAAAAAGCTACATGTGGAAACAGACGTACAAATACTTACAATGCAATACATGCAAACTATATACTGCACACACTTGTTTGTATTGAAAAAAAAATGAATCAAAAGAAAAAGTACCCAAAAACAAATACAGATAGCGGTTTGCTTGGAAAAAAACAAAAAGAAAAAAAAAGAAAATAGAAATTACAGTTGTACAGAAAAAAATTATTTAAAAAAAACACACACATAAACATTAGGTACAGGTATGCTGAAAATTTAACTGCAGGGTTGAGAATGCTGAGACTTTGAATAAAGAGATGTTCCAAAGATAGGCTTGTTACTCACTTGTTTGTACTGATGGTTATGATACATAGACTTGATCGCCTTGTGCAGATCATCTGCGTGAAGCTTATTCCAAAATTAAAACAAATGTACAATGTAAGGTTACTATTACCAAAGAAAAAAAGCTTACGAGTTTGAAATGAGTCTGAAACATTTCTTAACTACAGATTTCCTTGAGTATTTTTTTTTTTTTTTAGACAGTTGCAGCTGCTAAATAAGTTTACTATCGACTAGATAAAACTCATGGAACAGTAAGTAAAAGTAAAATAAAAATAAAAAGTAAAGATTTCTCTTCACGCCTTAAAGGCGTATCGGGCATATGGGAAGAGCGCCCATATTTTTACAGACCGTCGGTACTAGGTGGGTACTGTGGTCAGCATTACGCCGGCCATCTTTACTTCCCCAGGACAACCATCGTAGTACCCATTTTAGACTAGGTTGACCTGCGACGCCCCATACCATGATAAAAATCGACGCAGCCAGCAGTGTGTTTCGATCGCGATACGTTGGAATTACGAGTCAGACTCGCAACGCCTAAGCCACGGACGCCGCGCACAGTTAGTATGGGAGGATAAATCGAAACAAATTTAAGGTTTTTAGATGACACTGACGGATTTGCCAGGGAAGAACAAGAGCAAGTGGAACTTGCAAACTTACTAATGAAACATCGACCTAGTATGGCATGGAAATAAATGTGGAAAAGACTAAAGTAATGACTAGCACTCCAGCTAGCATAGCTTCACCAATGCAGGTAAAAGGTAACAGATTAGAACAAGTCAATCGTTTTTAATATTTAGAATCCATTTCAAGTGACCTGGGGTCCAGACAAGAAATCATGTCAAGGATTGCCCAGACAACATCAATCCTTGCCACACAGCAACTATTATGGAGGTCCAAAAAACGTTCATGTAAAACTAAGCTGATCAGAGCAGTAGCTGTAAGTGCGTTTACAAATGGCTGTGAATCTTAGACCTTATCAGCTGAAGTCGAAAAGAACAATTATTGGAAATACGATTTTTCAGAAATATTCTGGGTGTGTCATACAGAGACTTCATCACAAATGACGAGGTTCACCGTATAATTACCCGAAACAATGGCAACTATGAATCTCCACAGCGAAAAAAAAAAAAACGGAAAAGAAAATGGTATGGACATGTAATCAGAATTAACAGACTCTCAAAAACAATACTATATGGGTTGAGTAGAGGAGAAGATGGGGAAAAAAAGGCAGACCAAGAAAGACCTGGATACAAAACTTGACTGACTGAACTGGACTTAGACATGCAATCATGAATTCCATTACGTTTGACCGTCAGAGGTGGAGACACGTGCCGATCAGACAACCAGCAGCAACTGGTGACCCAACGACATGCAGTGTTATGGGATGATGATGATGATGATCGACAAGTACAGCAGGACATATCAAAGTAGTACTAGCAGTAGGGAAGGGCTAGTTGCTGACGTCATCAGCTGTTAGTGACATCACCACCCCGGGGCTAACGATATCTTCCGTGTTCACTCTGATAGTTCCTTGTTTTGTTTTTTTGGTATGTTTCCGGCCGTCCCCTGAGTACTAGCCACACAAATTATAGCAAAAAGCTCAAGGCTATTCAACAGGCGGCCTGCGGGCCAAATCTGGAACGCCGAGACCTAGCCAGTGCCTGCAGATCATTGCTGGTTACATTATATTTATTGGTCTTTCTACGCTGGGACTCTGACCTTTGGCCCATAACGATCCCTAATTTCACAATGTTGGCCCCTGAGTAAACTTGTCTAACTTAGTTGAATAGCCATGTATATAGGTATTCACAAAATTACACAGAAACTGGTTACTGGCTGTCGACCTGCCTGGTTTCGAGAGGTACCCAGTGTTAATCCGGAAGACCGGCCTGAGACCCGACATATTCTTATACTCTGCGGAGAAACGCCAGCTGATCCTGGTTGAGCTTACTGTGCCGTATGAATCGCGAATCAAATGTACAAGCTCGAGAAGTACTGTGAGCTATCGACAGGTCTGAGTAGAGACGATGCGTACTCAGTAAAAGTCTTCGCCTTCGAAGTAGTCGCAAGATGTATTATATCTGCTGTCATGTACAATGTGCTAAAGCAGCAGGGCTTGCTAGGAAACGAACGTAGACGGTCATTAAAACAACTAGGTGAAGCTGCTGAAAAAGCTTCGAGCTGGATCTGGACGCAACGGAACGTCGTGGGGGGGGGGGGGGGGGGATTGGCCTCGGTAGACTGGTCCGAGTCCCTGGAGAAACGGAGCTTCTTATTCCTTAAAAGCCAAGATGTCCAAATAATGCCTGCCAGTGTCCAAGTCCAAGTCCTTTTGAGAAAAAAAAAAAAAGTTCGACCACGTTCAGACTGCTGCTAGCTAGCATAGGCTGCTAGCAGTCTCCGCCTATATTTGTGGTATGGGTTATTTGCGTCACTTTCGTGACTGAAAACTAATGTTTGTGCCATTTCTGGGCTTGATGTTTCCATCCGAATCAAACCGCTCGTCCTGTTGTCACTGGTGCATGTCTTCCTTCTTCTTTCTTGGTGTTTCTTGTTTGGTCTGTCTCCCTTTGATCTGGCTAGGCGTATCTCGAAGGAGAGCCTGCAAGTGTCACTCCAAGTGCAAAAGTCCAACATGTGTCTAATAAACAAACAATAAGCTTGTCAATTGGTCGTTAAAGTAACCGGCTGGCCTAATTGGCTACCGCAGCGACAACACATTTATTTAACTTTAAATCTCACAGTACCCGTTGCATAGTCACAATTTCGTCTTGTCCCTGTCCGAGAACATATGGTAAAGTGCAGCAGGAGAAGATCTAGGCCTGGGAGTCATGACCCAGGTTGGCCCACCCTCTGAAATAGTCTAGGAGTTGATGGGCCGAAACAATTGAGACGAGGGATCTTCTACTTATGATCGGTGGACTCCTGCTGTACATGCTCCCCTGAGGAGTTCTTCTTCTTATTGCAAACAGTCAACGTTCTTTTTTTTTTCTTCAGTCTCTTTATTCATTTACGATCGAAGCACTAGCACTAAAAAAAACGGAGTGTGAGGGATGTTAACCCAATCCAGACAGGACAATAAACGCAGGGTGACACGAATGCCACCATTCAGATGAGAATTTCTCGGGCGGAATTTCTAGAAACCCCTTCAATATTTTGGTTATATTAGGGCCCATGGCGACAGCCAAGGTGGAGCTTTCAAATAACGAAAAACTCATTTTAGCAGGCTGGATAAGTTACTCAAAAAGCTCATAGAAAACTCGTTATAATCTGTTTGTGATTGGTCCGATTTTATATCTCAATTTATTTTAACTTTTTTTAAAACTTATATACAGACTCATCATCAAGTGCCTTGTCGACTGGCGTGAGCGATCATGCCTCTCTACAATCTGCGATTGGCAACTGCGTGTATCAGTTCCTGTGCTGACACACCTCTATGCCATGACAAAAGACTGTCACAACCTGTTCCATTTTCCCTCTTCTCATAATATGACCCAAAAATGATGACTGTCTCTTTCTGATGTTAGTGATAAGTTGTCTTCGATTATTCGCCTCTTTCAAAACATACGTGTTGCTCTTCTTAGCCATCCAAGGAATTATACAGATTCTTCTGTCAAACCACATTTCCGCGGCCTCAAGACATTGTTCAGCTTGTTTATTAATAATTTAGATTTAGATTTACACAACGGATCAACATCATGGCACAAAAGGTAAACCATAAGTCCGCCGTTTTACTTCTGACTCAAGCCTCAGACTGAATAATCTCAGCGCAGTGCACGAATTCCGTAGCACCGGCAACGATAATTTATTTATTAATAATATACCGACCAGGTCTATTTACAGTAACTTGGAAGTGAATATAATGTAAGCCCATTTAACAATTATGTATCTGATTCAGGCCAATTAACTTCACTTAATCCTAAAATATATATTTGGTCTTTATTCATTTCTTTTCCTAGTGGGGCGGATTGTGTTGCCTGATGAACACGCCACCAGAAATTCAACCCCATGATATTATTGAATTGTATCATAAGCAATAATATTTTCAGCTTTTCAGTTTCTTACCACGTCTTCATAACTAGGGAATGCCAAGATACCTGGGGCACCATGGTCTGCAAAATTGACAAACACGCGATCCTCTGGTCCACTGTGAATAAAATAAGTTTTGTTATTTATTGCAGACTTTTTGTAAACATTTATTAAGATGCTCCATCTTTGTACAAGATCATCATCATATCAACCAACAGGGCCTTTACAGAACGTCGCTTTCCTCATGGCACGTCTGAAAGTATCAGACAAGAATGAATTGTATAAACTAAACTCTTCGCGAATATCTGCCCTAACCTTTATCATTGTACCAGGTCATGCTAACACTACTTTTCCTATGGCTGGCCCAGTACCGAACAGAATTGATGTTATCAATGCCATGCGCTGCACATACCGTACAGAGGAGCACGCCAAAGGACATGACTTCATATCTCTGTCAGGACTAATGGACATGGGGTGCAGCCTGGAGCTGCAAGAAATGAACATCTCACTAAAAGGACAAGACGTTTCATTAACCAACACAAAACAGGCGTCATCAATCGTTTTATACTTGTGGAGCTTTGGAGCAGAAGATCGTAGCACCTATGGATCTGTCCGGAGTGCTGTGATGATAATCCTTGCTAATCACTAATTACGTCTGAAAGTCTCTTTCTCTCTCTCTCTCTCTCTCTCTCTCTCTCTCTCTCTCTCTCTCTCTCTCTCTCTCTCTTTCTCTCTAGCCAAATTGTAAGCCATGTGTGCTTTCATTGCCCATTCATCTTCAATGCTATGTATCCACCTTCGTTTTCCGGAGATTGCACCCTCCTGCCATCAACGTTCCCTCCAAGCGACCATGACACTTGACACGTCCAAAATACCTCAGACAACTGTTTATGTTGTACAAGAAAGCTTTGGAGACAACAAAAATATGCCCGTTTCAATGACTAACAGAAAACTTCAGAGGTGTTGGAATGAGCTCGTCTAGACAGATGTTTCTGCCCTTTTAAGTATTGCTTTGTATTTGCAATATTATTAAATTTTCTTACCTTTTACTTATTGCTTTATTATAGCAATATTATTAATTCAATAATTAAAGATTTGAAAGATATGAAGGAGGAGTAGGAGAATTAACTTAGGAGTTACTTCCCCCTTTTTTTGTAACTTCCTTTTAAATTCAGAAACAGAGTGAGGTTCACAGACTCCTGTGAGCTCACTGACCCAGTAATACTAAAGTTGTTAGTCACTACAGTAGTCTTGTTGTCTGTTTGAATTCTCTACCAGGGGTGAGTGAATAGTATTATTTTAATTTGATATATTTCTGCTAATTCCTGTGAATTAATTTTAGTTGTTTACATGTTACACTCTCTAAAATGTGATGCCCAAATGGTGACAATCCTTGAGGAATTTCCTCCATCCTAACTAACCACGTTTATGATCTAGTATGTACATGTATGCAAACATATGATCTATTTTATGACTTAAATAATGTTTATTTGATACTAGAAATTGGTATATTTAATTATTATAATTATACTAGTTAGGTGGAAATGTATGTCCTCATGTGAAATCTCAGCCGTTCCGATTTCCAGCATGGTGAGACAATTAATAAAGGAATGAAGTGTGTATTCATTAAACCTTATCCTTACTAAGTTGATTTGACCTCATGGTGATATTAGCTTGATAAATCACTGTCTTGCTTTAATTTAGATCTAGTCCACATAATTCTGAGACTGGTTTAAGAGCTTGAAAAAAAAGTGAATAACACATGGTGGCTAAATTTAATATTCACACTATCAGAGAAGAAGAAGAGAGATGTATGGCCCATGCCTGTAATAATATTGTTGTATATATATTTCCCCATTACTATAAATATATTTTCAGTACCCCAGCAGGTGGCCTTGCAATTTTAATAATTATATTTCACCCTTTCCAACTTCGAAACTCTACTAAAAACGATTAAGCCCATGTGTGGATTCATTTTTAAACTGGAGTTAGTGTTGTACATTTTATGTTAACACTTTGACAGATTGAAAGTCCATTGTCATCTATGAAAGTATTATGACATCTATCCCAGCGCCCAGTTATATTGATAGAGATATGTCAATCTCATTTATTTTTAAACTGCGCAAGCACCTGTTATGGGTTTCCGGCCCATATAAACTCACTCCCTGATTCTCATTCTTTTTTATGTGAACCCATATGGTTGAAATGAGAATCTTTTGTGAAATATAACTGTGTGTGTAGGCATGTTAACCCCTTAAAGGAGTACTAGTGTAAAGACATCAGTATAATTCGCACTGGTGAATGTCATTTCTTATTTTGTGACTCTTGTACTTAAAAGTAGCCATGAAACTGATGTTCTGTATACATTCCCATTCTGTACCAGTAAAGAATGTGTTACTATCCTACTCCATATGTGTGTGTAGTGTAACAGTTTGAGGACTGGAGGTACTGTTGTCTCCAGTGAGAACTTTTCAAACTGCTTGTATAGGGACTGTTCTATTGTTCTGGTTCCAAGTGGTAGTTCCAGGTGAAAATTCCAGCGTAGCTGCAGGTGCCCGATTGTCTGGACTTGACTGGAAGATTCGGTCTGCCAAAAGTGTCTCTGAGGCTGAGCTAGAAGCTGACCAAAAGAACGCAAGCTACAGCTAAGTGGACAGATTTGTCTACTATCCACAGGGACTAATTTTATCTTCACAGCCAGTCTGATTATTAGCTAGAATTTACAAATAAATGTTGTAGTTGTTAATGTTCCTCCCAGTGTTATGGAATTTATTTTAACTAATCCTTTGTGTCAGTGAACTTTAGTACATTTAAGTATACAATGTATTAACAGTATGGGAATCAGATGTGGGCAAACCCCGAATCCTCTTCTTTAACCAGCAAGGCTGGAAGAAATATAATCTTGTAGGATGATTAACAGTTTGCGATTCTCTCTGTAGATTGCACATAGTGCAATTGCTAGATTAAAGCTAATTTAACTGCCACAGGTTTGGAAAGGTGAGGTAGAGGAACGCCCTCAGCCCACTACTCCACCAATCAGCCCCTACCTTACAGATGTTCTAGGCAGAACTTTGAGAGCTCAGACCTTCCACAAGTAATTATTAAACATACCAACTTGCTTGAAATTTGTCCAATGTAAAGGTACTTAAACCCTAATGATTTTGCCTCACAGATGATCTAGGCAGAACTTTGAGAGCACAGGCCTCCCTCTGTACTTATTAAACTTATAAACTTACTTGACGTTTTCCCACTTAAAGGTACTTAAACCGTAAGAATTCTATTTTTACCTTTTTATAACCTTGCCCTCTCTGCCAAGTAGGCTCTTTATTCCCTCAGAATCCCCGGTCAAAACTTTGAGGAAGACTTCAGAGTTAACATCCTGTTAACAAAACAAAACAGAACTTAATATTTTGCCCAACAGCGAAACAACACTCATAAATCAAGAACCCTCTCCACCATATAATCAGGAACCGTCTCCATAATATGATCAGGAACCGTTTCCATAATATAATCAGGAACCGTCTCCACTATATAATCAGGAACCGTCTCCACTATATAATCAGGAACCGTCTCGACTATATATTCAGGAACCGTCTTTATTATACAATCAGTAACCTTCTTCACCATATAATCAGGAACAGTCTCCACTATAGAAAAAGGAACCGTCTTTATTATTTAATCAGGAACAGTCGCCACTATAGAATTAGGAACTGTCTCCATTATATAATCGAGAACCGTCTACGCTATCTATATAATCAGGAATCTCTCCACTATATAATCAAGAAGCATGTCTAATATATAATGAAAAACCATCACCACTATGTAATCAGGGATCGTCTCCACTATAATCAGGAATCGTCTCCACTATATAATCAAGAACAGTCTGCGCCATATAATCAGGAACCGTCTCCACTATATAATCAGGTACCGTCTCGACTATATAATCAGGAACCGTCTCGACTATATAATCAGGAACCGTCTCGACTATATAATCAGGAACCGTCTCGACTATATAATCAGTAACCGTCTCTACTATATAATTAGGAACCGTCTCGACTATATAATCAAGAACCTTCTCCACTATATAATCAGGAACCGTCGCCGCTACATTGGTTGGCTATCAGGTAAACACAGTTACAACTTTATAGCTAACGGGGTCACCCCATAGTTGCTCTGTTCCTGTGCTAGCGAAAACCAAACAGAATGTCCAAGGCCATCCTATGTTGAAAATAAAAATGGACACAGGCTACAATCTTAGCAAGACCAATATCATACACAATAACTTAATGAATAAGTCAGCTGTCTGAAGCGCCAGCATAAACAGTTCGACACTACCCATGCAGTTCATCGTTAATAGAAGCAGCAGTTACAACAGATCGTTGTCTGCACATGCAACTAATCACGTAAGACACCACAATGGTTGGCTATAAAATGAATGTCACATTTATAAGGCTGCCTGTGCTGAATACTGGCGGCAAGGTCTGTTCGAATCTGGATCATGCAAATTATAATAATTGTCTTAGGGCTCCAAATTCGATCGAACCTAGAATTAATGCTAAGAAACATTACAGGAAGTAAAAGCGGCATTCAAGAACCTGCGACTGCCACATCACACCGTAAACAATTATTTGCCTAGAAAATAAATAGGGTGGGGCAGGAAAGCGTGGTTGTGGTAGGGGGTGAACACATATACACACACACACCTTCTCCGCCCCATGTTTTCAGAATTCAATAGTGTGTGGAAAGCTAAAGAGGTGAACCCCCCCCCCCCTCCCCTTCCCCAACTCCCACATCACCATCACCACTTTTTATTTTGCTTAAGTGGGGAGGAGAAATTAAGGGGGGGGGGGAGGGGAACGGTGTTGGGTGGCCTTTCCCCAAAGTTATCTTCAGGAGGCACACCTGATACACAACAACAGTCTTTTCTTTCCCTCGTGTCGATGGCCACGACGTCAGAACTCATTGGGTCAAATTCACTATATCCCCCGCCCCCCCCCCTCCCCCGTACCCATCCAAGTCATCCCTTAAGGCGTACTGGGCATTTCTTCTTTGTTTACCAGCTGTAAGCTTTGGTGGGAAGCCCTGGTTGTTCGTCCATTTGGACTTTCGCTTTGTGCCAGGGCTTGAATTTTGCGAGTACATCCGTTTTATTGGCTTATCTGTGTGCAGCTGGTTGTTCCTTGCTACTTGGGCAGATGTACAGCGACTTCGAAGGAACCGCTCAGTTAGTCGACTCAACGACATGCTGGTTGGGGAGGCAGTGGGGCTATTCTTGTTGCCCCCCCCCCCCACAATATGGTTCCGGGGCCCACACGTATTGGGCATATAATAGGGACCCTTTTCCATGCCTTCAAACGTAGTGAACACATAGTGCTAGATCTATATTTTATAGGCCAATCGCCACTCGATAGGTGATGTGGTCAACATCCCACCGGCCGCCTTTACTTTCCCTGGTACCCATTTAAGGCTTGGTCAACCTGGGAGCCAAGATTCATTTTGGAAAAAAAATCATGCTCCTTTCAGATTTGTTCCCATGGCCTTCGGATTCACAGGTGAGTATCTATATAATTAACATTATTATTAGCACAACAGCTTACCGCTCCCGTGTAATCTTTAGGTACTCCTGGGTAAACATTGGGACCACCTGGCCTATTTATGATGTTACCTGGGAAAGGATTGCTGCAGTGGAAAGTAAACACATTACATTTAATGAACTCCCATTCTTCTGCACATACAGAAACAATCATGCACGCTCCATCCACACTTGGAGGTTACAGGCCTATCAAAGAGATATTGTTTTCGCCTTGAAGATTTTCAGATGTGAAAAGAACAATGTGCAGCCGCACTAGACTTAGAGGATGCGTACAACAGAGTACCATTTTAATACTTGATGCAGATCCTTCTCCAGCTGGGAGTATCTCTCTTCATCACCTGCTGGATAGCCACGGCACTTTTACAGAGAAGGGTGATACTCAGGTGGGGTTGTTTCTCTTCAGAACCGATAACCGTAAGTCCAGGACCGTATTCAATATGAATACAATGCTGATAACTGAGCAGACGTTGCACGGGAGTGGCAGGACATTTGCTGATGACATCTTGATATACCGACATGAAAGAGATCGTCAAGAGATTGTCTGTTCAGTGCAGAGTGAACTTTACCGCATCTCCTCCTGGTGTGTAGATTCTAATGCTCATGTCAACCCTTTAAAGGCCTCGGTAACGTGGTTCTCGCTGAACACGCATATAGTGAAGACAGACTTATCAGCATTGGAAAGCAGAGACTAAACTGTAAGGAGAACCAACCTGTGGACATATCTCGGAATGAGGTTTGATCGTAGTCTGTCCATCAAAGAACATGATGACCACATCATAACAAAAGCACATAAAGATCTGTCAGCAGTGAGGGTCCTGACCACCGACAGTATTGAGCAGAGACTACTTCTGTTCCAAGGACTTGTTCCTTCTCTTATCGAAAATGCTTTGTCCATTCTCACTGTCAGCCATACTCGGACTAAAAGACTTGAAGGGGTGTAAATAGAAATCATGCGCATAATTCTGGGGTGCACAAGAGACACCTCTTGTGTAGTACTGAGATACATTCTTGACTTTCCTACCATGAACGGAAGGGTCAAGATTTAGAGGACTCGCCCATACGTCAAGATAAGTTCCAAACTGGAGCACCACCATATGCTCTACAGGGGAAAGGGCAACAGACTAAAAAAAAAGCATGTCTGGGTAGAGCAGAGGATGACATCAAGCAGGTCTGTAGTCTTACAGACATCCACCCTGGTGAGGTAGAGCAGAGGATGACATCAAGCAGGTCTGTAGTCTTACAAACATCCACCGTGGTGAGGTAGAGCAGAGGATGACACCAGGAAGGTCTGTAGTCTTACAGACATCCACCCTGGTGAGGTAGAGCAGAGGATGACATCAAGCAGGTCTGTAGTCTTACAGACATCCACCCTGGTGAGGTAGAGCAGAGGATGACAACAAGCAGGTCTGTAGTCTTACAGACATCTACCCTGGTGAGGTAGAGCAGAAGATGACATCAAGCAGGTCTGTAGTCTTACAGACATCCACCCTGGTGAGGTAGAGCAAAGGATGACAACAATCAGGTCTGTAGTCTTACAGACATCCACCCTGGTGAGGTAGAGCAGAAGATGACACCAAGCAGTTCTGTAGTCTTTCAGACATCCACCCTGGTGAGGTAGAGCAGAAGATGACATCAAGCAGGTCTGTAGTCTTACAGACATCCACCCTGGTGAGGTAGAGCAGAAGATGACATCAAGCAGGTCTGTAGTCTTACAGACATCCACTCTGGTGAGGTAGAGCAGAAGATGACATCAAGCAGGTCTGTAGTCTTACAAACATGCACCGTGGTGAGGTAGAGCAGAGGATGACATCAAGCAGGTCTGTAGTCTTACAAACATCCACCGTGGTGAGGTAGAGCAGAGGATGACATCAAGCAGGTCTGTAGTCTTACAGACATCCACCGTGGTGAGGTAGAGCAGAGGATGACATCAAGCAGGTCTGTAGTCTTACAGACATCCACTCTGGTGAGGAATGGATACCAGTTCCTAAAGCGTTTAATCTCATCTTCTCCTGAGTCGTCACCTTAATAGGAGTTGTCAGGAGCAGAATTCCGTCGCTGTCAACACCGAGGTATGTGCGCTTATCCGTGACAATTCGGATGAGACAGATGTGCTGATCTACACAGACGGGTCCATTATTCGAGGACATAAGAGTGCATGGGCATTTACTGGTTGCTCTGCAGACAGAACAGTCTAGGAAGCCGGCTATGTTTTCTCTATGACTACCAGCAGCCTGACAAGAGAATCAATATTAGTTAAGATAATAAGCAAACCCCTGCATTTAAAAACAAAAGGTACCCGAGCATCCGTTACAGTAGGTTGCAAAGTCAACCTCTTAGGTTTTATTCGACAATTTTACGTTCAATAGTTTGCCATTGTCGACTTCTGTGGCTTAGGCGTTGCGAACGCGCTTCGTAATCCCGTGGTGCCGAGTACGATCCCAGATGCGGGTCCTGTGTCATGCTTTGGTTTCGACAGTGGTATCGAGCAGCCGACCGTCCAGAGGCAATGGCAAACTAGTGGACGTAAATTTTCCCAGAAAAACCAAAACAGCTCAAAAAAATGCTTTGGTTGGTTCTGTAACATACTGTAAAGGATACATAACTAACGCTTTAGTTTGCCATTGCCAGCTACTGAACGCTCATCTCCAAAAATCAATTCACAACCGTCCCTATGTGGGATGCATTTTTCGTTATTTGAAACCCCACCCTGGCTTTTACAGGGGGCCCTAAATATAGCCGGGCTATAAATACGGCCTAACAGCTGAACGGGATTTCTGGGACCTCTCCACAGTTGATCTTCATCCGCATGGTGGCACTCTGTGTCACCAGGTGTTTATCGCTGTGTGTGATGTCCTGGTGGGGTACAACTTACATACATACATTGTTGAAATCAGTTCAAAGGGGTCGGCTTCCGGATCTTCGGCAGCTGGATAAATACCAGATATTTCAGAATTACGAATCGCGATCGTAATGCCTAAGACACAGACTACATCAAACAGGTAATTGTATTATTAAAGTGAAATAGCTTACTCAGGGTTGTTGGCAATGTCATCATACATCATTACCACAATACGTTCGTCGGGGATGCCGTGACTGGAAACGATATGATATGCGTGGCAAATGTCAGCCTGGGAAATAACATGAAAACGTAAATCAGTTTACTATGGATCGTCAGTAAAGGCAAAGTAATGCTTCCATTTTCAGGCCTTGGTGTATATTGACCATGCAGTTTACAGCTAGAAGTGACCATAGGACCTGGTCGACTCTCTACACTCAGAGGAAAAAATGGTCCTAATGGACGCTAGGCAGGGGCACTGTTCGGAGCCGAGGCAAATTGTTTGCTGCTGTCGGACGGTTACCGGTGCAATTTAGCTCCATGTGCAGACTGGATATAGCTGTGTTGCCTTTACCTACAGACACTGGTTCCATGCCCTCGTCCTGAATTCTTCTGAATTAATCAAGTAACAGAAATTGTATTGATAGGCACTCACAGAAATAAGTAGATAGATAGAAGAACACACTAGACAACATACAAATCGAAAGCTGTAGTTACCGTGCCGGGAAATGAACCTGTCACCTCCAGACGGCGTCTGCGCCTCGCCATGAATACAAGTGCACTAAGAACATGGTCAAAGAAAGAGTGATCCTAATGACTTGTAATGGGCGAACAACAACTTGTTTTCTGTTTTTCTGGTACGTTTTTTTTTTTTTTTTCGTAAACTGTCCTTCCTGTCCATGTTTTCTCCAAACAGGTACATTGGGTTCCATAATTACTATAAGGGGGCTGCGTAGTCTCGAGGTATGGTGTCCCCCTGAGTGCTAGAGGTTCCGGGCTCAATCCCCGGTAAGGGTTAGGATATTTTTCACGTGGACTTGGACTTCTAGTAATTCCCCCGGTCTCTGGGTAGTGAGATCAGACGCCCGTGTGCATTGCGTAAAAAATCCCTTGACAGTTGGAAATCGAAAAGAGTAGCCTAACGGCGCTGCCTGGGCAAAATTTGGAGTTAAAAATCTACCTAAAGTATTTTAGGATCCTCGCCGGTGCCACAGAGCCTGACACTGGGCTGACCTTCTTCGGACTCAAGACTTGAGTTAGAAAAAAAAACCGGAGCACTTATGGGTTACACCCGTGTGTTATAATGTTGATCTGTTGTTCAAAACCTTAAATGGCTATGCCTGTTTAATTACTCTGTTTTATTTACTGATAAAGGTTATGGGTGAAAAGTTATGTTGCATTTTCCTGACCTAATTTTTACGTTTAGTCTTCATTTCTCTGTCGGCTCTGTGGCTAAGTAAATGCGAACGCTTCGTAATGCCGGGATGCCGGGTTCGATCCCAGCTGCGGGCCATGCACCCTGCGTTGGTTTCGACAGTGGTATCAAGAAAGCCGACCGTCCAGGAAGCAATGGCAAACTACTGAAAGTAAATTTGCCTAAAAAAACTACACAACAGTCAGGGACTGCTGGGGTTGGTTCTGCAACGTCCTGTAAAGGATACGCAACCAACCTTCATATCTCTATTGGCTATCTAAATAGTGAATAACTATTTAGCTACTTTCAATAATGTTTATTTTACCTGATGTCTGTAATTATCGTACGTATTGGAACCTGCCACTAGCAAAGCCCAGTTGTTCCCTCCAACTGCTGCACCCACAAGGCAACTCACAAACATGGCTAGGGCAATCATCATCGTGTTCCAGAGAGCAACCTAGCTTGGCCGATCCGCTGGATGGAACTACCAACACAATTATATACTGTTTGAGAAATCACGGGAGTGGCATCGTGTGATCATCTCGCCTCTTTAATATTCATGAAAACGTCAGTCGCATGTTTTTTAATGAATGCTAAACAGTAGGTGTCTTTAGCTTTGGAGTACAAATGTGACCTTTGAACTAAGTACAGAAGATAACGAAAACAATCAAGACATATTTGATAATAGGGCCGGTTACAGAGCCAAACCCAGCATATGTTTACTTTTAAGTTTTATTAGTTTGCCATTCCAATTAAACAACATTGGAAGTCTATGGTTATTCACCAGCAAGAAAATCAAAGTTAACATTTTGACAGCATGCATCTTTCCTGTAGCAACATATGGATGTGAGGGAAGAAGGACAAAGGACTCCATAGAAGAATAGAGATGAGGGAAAAGAAAATGTGGTTAGGACAACAAGAACAGCAAAAACAGGAAAGGAAAAGAAAAGGCAAGGGTTCTTCTGTGCAGGGGCCATGAAATATGATAATCAAAGCCCTGACAAAGGATATGTGAATAATTGTATTACACAACGACAACAAATGACTACAACTACATATTACATAGGCAAATAGAATCCCCAAACGATAAGATACACTGATAATCTAGGTCTACACAGCTTAACTACTGGAGAAAATTTATATCTAATACCGAAACTAACCACAGAACAAATCACTGCTGTAATCACCAAATCGAACCCTCTGTCTCAGCTCGGTCAATTGCATCTGTGCTGCGATGAGACCACGTGCGATCAGCAACTACTGAGCAACTGACCACGGCCAGCCGAGAACACACCGAGAGAGAGAGAGAGAGAGAGAGAGAGAGAGAGAGAGAGAGAGAGAAAGCGAGAGAGAGAGAGCGCGAGAAAGAGAGAGAGAGCACACAGCGCAGTACAAGCCCTTTTATCAGCTTCTGATCTCCCCCACCCCCCCCCCCCCGCCATATTTTTATTTTAGTTCATGAGTGTAGTTCGAACAAAATTAACAGATCTTCTTTGGTACCCTGCCAAATTAGGAAAGAAAATGTGGGCTTTTAAGCTGAAATGCTATAAACAGATTATCAGAATACCAAGAGAAGTAATAGTGACATTTTAAAAGATTTGAACATCAAGAAAAATTTGCTAATAAACAGCATCTTGCCTCAGAAGGTGAAATATTTCGTGATATCAAGTGCCATGGCGGATTGGGAAAAAAATAATAGCAGAAGGCATTCTATAGCACTTCAGCTCAAAAGCCCCTATTATCGTTTTAAGGACTGGGAGATAGTCCACGACTCACATCCGTATATTGTTATAAGAAAGACGCATGCTCTCAGAATTCTAATTTTGATCTCCTTGCTGGTGCTCAACCAAAGACTTTTAAGGCTGTTTAATCTTTGCATTGCTATGGCCATCCTCCTTTTGATTTATGTCACTATTATCCGAACTAGGCAACCGCTGTAAATTAGTAATGCAGTGGATACCTTCCCACTGTGGAGTTCCCGGAAACGAAAAAGCTGATAAACTAGCTAAGGAAGGTGCAACTGAAGAACAACCTAACATACCAGTCTCTTATCAACAGAAGAAGAGAATGATCAAATCAATCAGAATGCCACCGAAACTGGCACAAGATGATTACCATATTATGGACAGACCAGAGCAAGTCATTATCCTTCGCCTTAGAACAGGGCACAATCGACTTCGCTCCCACATGTACAACAAATTTAAGATTGGCCAATCAGCCATGTGTACTTGTGGACTGGCACCCGAAACAACAGATCACATCCTTCAAGACTGTCCCAGATTCAACGCTTTCAGGCAAAACCTTTGGCCAAAAGAGACACTTGTGGAAGTCAAACTTTACGGGCCGCTTAGTGAATTACAAAAGACAGTGAAATTCATACTAGAGACAGCTTTGCAGATATAGACAATTTATTTCATGCGAACGAAAGAAGAAGAAGAAGAAGATTTATGTCAAACAGTCTCCATTGCTGTTTATTATAGAGCCTAGATGTTTAAAGTTTGTAACATTTTCAATTTCTTTATCATGTATTGTTATTTTTGGGTGGCAGCACGTTTTATCTGTGGGCATTATTTCCGTTTTCTCCAAATTCATGAACAGATTTTGATTTTCATTGTACTGTTGGACAAACAATATTAAATTTTCTATTCCATTTATGGAATTGTACAGATAGAATTACAAAGGTCAGATTTTTAAGAGCATGCATCTTTCCCATTGCAACATACGCCTGTGAGACCTGGACACTTACTAAACAAGCGGAACAGCGCATAAATGCATTTGAATATAAATGTTACAGACAGGTTCTAAGAATATCTTGGGTAAAGAAAAGAACAAATGCATCCATACTTCAAGAGCTGAATATTGAAGAGGGTTGGCTAGTAAAGACAATAAAACAAAGAAAATTGAAATATTTTGGTCACTTGAAACGTCATGGAAGTCTAGAGAGAACAATAATGGAGGGGTATATGCCTGGGAAGAGAGGAAGGCCAAGGAGAAGATGGGTGCAGGATGTGGCAGATGATCTCCAGATGGGTGTATCAGACGCAGGACATCTTGCTCAGGATAGGAAGGTTTTCCGGAGGGTTGTTATGGCAGCGAGGTTCCGCGAGGGACATGCTACTGAATGAATGAATGAATGAATTCCATTTACGCTGTTCAAAAGGAGGACTGTGTCATTTGCATTGTGAAGTTCCGGGATAGATTTGACACCAATTTTGAAAGAACAGAATAGGACAGGTTAACAGTGTATTTTATAAATGAAGAACAATTTAGATAACAATTCCATGTTATTAAGGTCACGACAAGAATGATCGCATGCTACGCGGAGTTAGTTCTAACACATGGTTGTGAATCCTGGACAATAAATAAACCAACCAAACAATTTATTGAGGCCTCGGAGACGTGGTTTTACAAAAGAATCCTTAGAATTAACTCGATTAAAAGAAACAAAGGCAAGAGGTGAGAGCTCGTAGACAACTTATCACAGAGATCAACAAGAGAGAGTCGTCATTTTTTTGTGGTTATTTTGTGAGAAGAAGGAAACTGGAACATGTTTTGACCACTGACAAGAAATGGGAGGAAAAAAAAGACAGAGAAAGACAGGGCGAGAAGATTACAGCCTTCTGTCATGACACAGAGGGAAAACACAGCACAGGAAATGATTTATGCGGTTAAAGATCGCAGACTGCGGAGAGGTCAGCCGGTAAGGCATTAGATGATGATGATGAATGCCTCGTCCATCAATGTTATCTCAGAACAGAACGTCTCATTAAAAATATAATGTATGCAGTTGTCTTAGTCAGAGTTCCTGCTTTTTGTTTACCGTAAAATGCAGTTAACATAGTAAAAAAAAAAAAATAAGTAAAGGACCCTTTCCACGCCTTTAGGGCATATAGGGCTAGACCTATATTTTTTATAGACCAACGGCACAAGATGGGTGATGTGGTCAGCATCACGCCGGCCGCCTCTACTTCCCGGGATTGCACCCGGTACCCATTCAAGGCTGGGTCGACCTGGGAGCCAAGGTAATATTTGAAGAGCGAACCCACGACCTTCCGATCCGCGGCGAGCGTCTAGCCGCTCAGCGACGGCGACTCCCTAGTTAACATATATACAGCTAAATTAGCTACAGCATAACACGAACACAGGAGTCGAAACTAAGAGATTCCTGCGTGCACAATTGGAAATTTTAATTGCTTCCCCCCCCCCCCCCCCTTATTTTAATGTAGTTAGTTCGATTCATGGCTGCTTCATTAGCTCCTTTTCTCAATCTCTTCTCCTCCGCCCCCCCCCCCCCCCTCCTCTCTCTCTCTCTCTCTCTCTCTCCATTTTGCTGTGTCTTGATCTCCCCTTTCTCTCTTTAAGCATTTACATTTTCACACCCCCCCCCCCTCTCTCTCTCTCTCTCTCTCTCTCTCTCTTTTTCTGTCACCTGACTTCTCATGTCTGGCGGCAAGCTGTGCTCTTTCTCTGTGTGTGCGTGTGTACATATACTGTTTAAAAAAACGCATAGCTACAGAAAGGAACCTTCATACAATTTTGACACTTTGCATCTTTGTAAAGCAATAAGTGGGATTACTCAAATTTCACACAAGAATACCACTGGGTACTGCCAATCAATTGGCATTTTTTGTTTACATCTGAGTCACGATAATTTTTAGGCCTATGGTCTTTCCCGTTAGTATGGTGTGTGGCTTCCTCTTGCGTGGATCAGTGACTGGCATCTATTGCGATCAGATGTGTGATTTGGGCCTAGGGAATGGCTGTCCACGCTTCCTGGAGTGCCTGGAACAGATCAAGGGCATTGGCTGGAGCAACATCTCGGCGATAATCACGCCTTAGCAGCTCATCCCACAGGTGCTTAATCAGACTCCAGTCTATGGACAGGGAAGGACTTGAATGTTATTGGCAGCAAGGAACCGTGTAGACAGCCGGGCAGAATGGGTTCTGGCGTTGTCCTTTTGAAAAAGAAATCTGTTGTCATCCCAAAATAGAAGGACACGTGGTCGTAGAATTCACTGACTTATCTTTGCCTATTCAAGCTTCCTTTAGTGTGCACGAATTGACTCCTTCCGTTTTAACTGATCATTCCCTACTTTAATATACGTTGTAATGATGTTATAAATAGGGATAACGTCAGGGTAGGACTGACAGAATTGGGTAAGTCCCCGATAGCATGGGTTTTACGGAGATATGGTGAAAAGACAGGAGTGAGTGAGTTACGTCTGAGTGCGAGATCTTGGGTATTGAGAATGAGGTGGTCATTCAGTGACTGGGCCCCAGATTGGAAGGACGTGAAGCTGAATACGTGAAGCTGAATCCAGAGTGAGAAGTGCACACGTGGATCTGGATTAGAGTCGAGTGAATGTTAGTTCTGAACGACAATACCTGCAGCGTTGTTGAATGATTGTTTAGGCCAGCAGTTGTGTTTCGCGGTAAGTT